AAAAAAGAAAAAAGAAAAAAAACATCAATCAACACCACAACACAAAAGGACAGAGAACAAGGAGGACGACAAGGAAGCTGGGTAGGCTGAAGAACGACAGGAGGAAAAGGAGGAAGACGTATTCAGAGAGGGGGAGGAGCCTCCGAGGAGGTTGAAGACTAAAAAGGGGAGCTCACTGTTGAACATTGCTCGCAATGCTCGGAAGAGGAGGGTGAAAAAGTAGAGGGTACAAAGAAATAGACAAGCAGGACAAGGTCGAAATTGGACAAGGAGGATGCAAGCGACGATAGAGGCAGCGAAGGGGCGACAAAGGAGAACAGAGGATGAGCGGTGGTTGGTGATGGACGCGGATGACTGATAATAATGGGAAATACAAAAAGAAACAAAATAAGTTGAGCAGAAAAAAAAAGAAGGCACCGAGAAAGGAGGGATGTACAGCACACGAGGAGCGATAAACGAGGGAAGATCCGAGTCATAGGGAGGAAGGAGCAATGGAGGAAGGACAGCAGAAGGGGCAATGAAGGAAGGACGGCGGAAGGGGCGATGATGTGGGAGGGAGAAAGAGCGAAGTAGGAAAACGACAGGGAAGAAGCGGTGGGAGAGAAGGACGACAGAGAAGACAGGACGAAGGATGGAGGATGACCATCCGAGAGGGATGAAGTAGCGATGGAAGAAGGATTGACGAAGGGGCAACGACGCCGGGGCAGGGGGGGGTTGAGGGGGTCGATCGACGAAGGGGCAATGACCGCAGGGGGGGGGGGGGGGGGGGGGGGTTGACAACAAAGGAGGGAGAGAGAGACGTGGAGAATGACCTTTTACAAAACAACGGGGAATGCATTTCAGAAAAGCTAAAACAAAACCAAAAAAAAAGGCGGAAAAAATGAGGAAGCATGGATGGAGTAAAGAGCAGGGAAGAGGAAGGAGGGAAAAAGGAACAACAAGCAATGGCCGACAAAAGAAGTAAGGATGGAGGAAGAAGCAGCGATGGAGGATGAGGGTAGGGGAAATGACAAGGGATGGAGGGAGGGAGGGAGGAAGCAGCCAACTAGACCACTGGATGATGGACGGAGAACTCATGATGGAGCAAACATGAAGGAGCGATGATTGATACCGTGAGGATGGAGCGATGGAGGACTGATGAGCACCGGAGGAGGAGGGAGGACAGAACGATGGAGCAATAGACTAAGGAGGGCGGACTGACAGATAAGCACTGGCAGGGAAGGAGGGAGGAATGGCCAATAATCAGCGATGGAGGGAGGAGGGAGGGTGGAGGGTGGAGGGATGAAAAAGAAGGGTTGCAGGGGAAGAGGAGGAGGAGGAGGAAGAATAAAAAAAGGAAGGGGAGTAGGAGAACAATGATGACGATGGCGACGAGGAGGATAAAGAAAATGAGCAGGAAAAGGAGGGCGAGGACAGAGGAGAAAAACAAGGAGAGGACAATTACGAGGAAGAAGTTCCACCCTCACCATTTAAAAAACAGAATTGAAAAAGAAACAAAAATTTCAGAAAAAGAAAAAACACAGAGAAATAACACAACAGGAGTGGGAAGAGGAGGAAGATGGGGAAAAGGTGGATGGTGAGGAAACAACAGCAACAGAGACAGAGGGAGAGGTCGGCAGCACTGCCACATGGCATTGACCGCCTGCATCTCTCTCTCTCTCTCTCTCTCTCTCTCTCTCTCTCTCTCTCTCTCTCTCTCTCTCTCTCTCTGTGTGCAGCACTACCACACACACACACACACCCCTCTCAGCCCTCTGCACCGCCACACACACACGCACACCCCTCTGCCAACTTCCGCAAAACAGCGATGCAGTGCACTCAAAACACTCTTGAACCAGCACAGACGGGAGCAACAATGCACACAGCTGCAGCAGACGGCAGCCCCCTCAAACGGCTATGGCGCACAACAGAGCTGCAGTGACGCACACACAAGCAGTGGACCAGTTCAGTGGACCAGTTCGACATGTGTCAAGCAGTGGACCGATTCGACACGTGTCAAGCAGTGGAGCCGTGTCAATTGATGACGGTCAAGCATACTCATGGAAAGCATAAACTACACTGCTAGGCGGACAGTGGGGACATGTACTGACGGTACTCATGTTTCTATTTTCGTTTTCTTTGTCTTATTCAGGATGAACAAAAAAACGTGGTTTTTTTTTCGGATAATTTGCAAAATACCCCCATAAGTTGAGATATATGCTAAAACGCCCCTAAAAGATGTGCATAGAGCGGAATACCCCTCTGACAAAAAAAATAGTTTGTGAAATGCCCTAGCATCGGTTGGACCCCCATCTTTGCAATATACCCCTACCGCGTACCGTCCAACTTTGCAAAATGCCCCAGTACTTGCCAACTCTTCCTAGGCGCTATTGCAAAAGGCCAGGGCCCAAAGGGGGCGGTCCAGATTGCGAAGTTGGACACCCGCCTGACAGGGACACAACACAACGATCTCGGCCCAAAAGGGCATTCCGGAATTGGTTTACACACTACACTCAGGATGTGGCAGCGCTTCGCGCCTTGTGGGTTCGAGTCCCGCTAGCCATACACTCTACCCACATCTTTCAGGGGCATTTTGGCATATATCTCAACTTATGGGGGTACTTCGCAAATTATCCCTTTTGTTTTCACCTCAACTCTTCATGTTCACAAATGTTTTTTCTTTTTTTTTCTTTTTTTATTTTATTCTACACTATGTTCTTTTCTCAAATTCTTTTTTTGCCTTTCACTACCTTCCTGCCACTACTAAGACTATATAGAGGGGACCCCTGCAAGCATAGGGCCTCACAAACGAGGTAATTCATGTTGCCCCCCACCGCAACAGCGGTAGTCAGAGATGGGGTGGGGCCACCTCTCTCGAATCTTTCATCATCTTTCAAATTCTTTCAATTCATTTTTCCACTAGCTGCACCTCCCTTTTCATTGTCCCCCACCCCCAACCGAATAACAGCTGTGTCCAAGGCCAACACTCTCCCACACGCCACACACAACCCACTAACACTCACACTCACACCCATGTTGGCCAAGGACCCTGCTAATACCGATCAGAGGTTACCGTATCAAGAGGACTATCACCGCTTGTTGGCACTAAGTGCGCGGCAGTTGGTTGTGGGGCTCCAACCCACAACCTCCTGAATGCCACTTGCGTGCCTAACCGAGTTAGGCCTCTGGATTTTTTTCTTCTTTTTCTGTTGTTTCTACACTCTTCTCTCAACTTCTGTTTCTTTTGCCTTCCATTACCTACTCCTAAGACTATCTAGAGGGGACCCCTGCAAGCATAGTTTTTCCTCTCTCTGTGAAGGGGAGATTTCATGTTGCCCCTTGCCCCTAATGGTTAGGGTATAAGGTTGGAGCCGCCAGTGGGGGTCTGGCTAACACAAAGACCGAGACCTGCCAGTAGCTGTGCCTCCCTTTCACATCGTCCCCCACCCTTCATCGAGTAGCAGCAGAGGCTATGGCCAACACTCTCCCACACACCACACACAACCCACTCTCGCTCACACTCACACCCGTGTTGGTCATAGACCCCGCTAATACCAATCAGGGGTATCCAGAGGACTATCACAGTCCGTTGGCACTAAGTGCACCGCAGGCGGCCATGGGGCATGAACCCACAACCTCCTGAATGCCACTTGCATGCCTAACCAACTGAGCTAGGCCGCAGGATTGGCCTCTGGATTTTATGGGCATACTTCTTCGTTTCCCACCGTCGTAATGTGTTGAAATATCCAGCCGCCTGAAATCGGAAAACACTATTGCTGCCACTTTCTGCACCACCAGAAACATTTCAACAGGCCTAACCGTTTGCCGCCCCCGGAGTCCGGCCTCTCGGACGTCGGTCACCAAAAAGAGCAGCGGGGCCACTGAGGCGGACTCCCCAAAATAGATGCCACCCTGCCTAGAGAACACCCGGCCCTAACACACACACATCCGTTTTCGGTCGTCCAAGGGAGTGGTCGTTTTGAGTGCTAATCCACCCCGCCACCAACCACAGTCAACGCGGCTATGTTTCAAGGTAGGCAACTGACTGCGGTTAGCAAGCTATATGCCCGACCACTGATGCCCTGAGGTGGAGGGTACCTGTGACGAAAATCAATGCAGACTGTCACTCATCCAAAGCAGACCGAAGACTCTACAGATTGCAGACTCACACCCCCCTATCATAAGCCATCAAGCCCCCAAGAAACAAAGAAAGGTCGGTCACAGTCAGAAAATACACTCCCGACACGCCACTGGCACTGGAGGCACAGCATTGCGGCCTCTAGTGACGGCCCGGACCACTCCCTTTCAACCTTATTGCGGCTTCGCGACGCGCCAGACCACGGGTGTTTGGTTGTTCAACCTTGGCGGAGAAAACCGTAGCTAGGGAAGTGGTAGAACCGTAGAACATATCGTCATAGAGAACTACTCGGCGAACGGTAGGCAGAGAGGGAGAAGAGACCACATACATCTAGACATGTACATATATCGTCACATACATCTATACATGTATATATACATATATATAAGTGATGATATATATGGTTGAAGCAGTAAGGTAAGGTCCTTGTAGTTCGAGGGGGTCGCAAAACAACAAGTTTGAATGACGACTCTGTCGGAGTCTGTCCCGGTCAAAATGTACCTGGACGTCTCGACGGCTGGACGCAGATAATGCATCTCAGCGCCTGGATGCCGGATACATTCTGACAGGCAGGATCTCCACGTACCATATCTATTTTTGTCATTGTTGCCTGATCTCCTTGCCATGGAATTGAGGGCCAGAATGGGGCCATGTGACTTGCGTTCAAAAACTGTAAATAAACAAGCGGCCAAAATGGGTTTACGTGGCTCGTTTCAAGGCGAATGAACATTAGCTGACGATTCCGGTTTCGAAAAGCTGCATGAACTCTAGCAGTAGACATTTCTTCAACCCCATTCCCTCTTCACACTCGAAAGCAAGACCGCCCACGGTACACACCAGAAACGTCCTGCCGAAAAAATGGCCAGAAAACACAAATTTCTCGGATGCAATGTTTCTTTATAGAGCGAGTTGCTAGAACAGAACAAAAAGCGCATGTGGTCCCCAACGCAAGCTTGTTTGCCCTGGGCAGAGCCTCGTCCAATCAATAACCGGGATGCCAACCGGATTAAATCTCGACACTTAATGAATATAGTCCTACCGACAATTCCCTTCTGTAATTTTATAACCAACCCTTCCGCCACTTGCGAACAGTGCGGAAATTCAGGTGGTACTTGTCTGATTCTGGTTGAATATCAAAGCGCACGTGGCGCTTGTGGGCGTTATCCTTGTGAAAGGGAGGGATGGAGTGTGGGGTAGGTGGGATGCACCGTGCGAAGCTGCGTATTGCGGCATCGCACACCATGTGGCACGACGGAGAGAAGGGAAGGGGGGAGGGGGGGGGGCGGACCGGTGACGCAGAGTGGATGCCGGTGAGAGACGAATAAAACAATGGAGAATCAAAGATGAGGTTCTCGATCCAGCTTCGACTACCGATCGCTGCACCTCCTCGTCATATCTCTGACCTCCTAGAATAATTAATTTTAAGGTTCCGTCCTAACTTCCTAAGGCTCTTCCAATGCACAAGTGTTTCATCCTGGAGCTGTCTGTGCGCTACAATTCCAGACAACCCACGAAAAGTAAAGGGGGAAAAAAAAATAGAGATCAGCGTTGCCGACCGACCAATGTTGTCCATCGAAAGGACAAGCAGAATCTTCCCACTGCAAAAAGTAGATCTTCGTGGAACCGAAGAAATTGAACGGACGAACCAACGTGCGAACAGGCTATCGATGGTAGATTCGTCGATGTGGAAAAGACCCCGCCAGTAGAAAACCGTCGACAAGAAAAAGAATGACCGCGCAGCAGAAGGCGGCGGCGCGTTAACCACATTGAATGTACAGGTCTTTATTGTGTGCAGCAACGTCGAATATCTCGAACGGAGCACTCTTTCCGATGTATTTTCCCGAGTGACTGAGGCTGCCCGTGACACACAAGCCAGAAACGAAAGGTCATGACCGATCGTGCTCGTGATAATCTGTTTGTCACACAGGGCGGCCAAGTTTTGGGAAGGAGGGGGGGGAGAGGGGCAGAGGGGTAGTCGACTATAGAAACCACCGGTCCTCCACCCGTTCCCCACTCCTGTTATATTTTTCAGCTGCGGATAGGACGGCCAATAGCAGTAATAAATATCTTCCAAAAACCGAAGGAGAACGCCTCCAACGGTCGTCGTCGTCCAGTAGCCCGGCTACCGAACGGTATTTCAGCACAATTTCAGTTCTCGACTGAGTGTACAGCTATACCCCGCTGGTACCGAGAAAAGAGCGAGAGCCAGATGGACGCCAGATCACAAGGAAGAGTGACACAGCGTTCCTCAGCGCAAAGAGGCATTCTCCTCTATATTCTAAACTGTAAAGAAAAGAGCATCGGCGGCTCAACTACCTCGCTCACGAACCCACAAAAAGAGCACAAAAGAAAGGAGAGAGAGAGAGAGAGAGAGAGAGCCGACAAGCTAGCCAGTACAGAGTGAAAGCGAGCTCCGCAGCTGACTCACTCTAACGTCGAGACAGAAACCGTTATCACTGTTGTCCGCTGATAGATAGGGGCAAGCGAGCTGAAAGCGAGCTCCGCAGCTGGCTGACTATAACGTCGAGAGAGAAATCGTTATCACTGTTGTCCGTTGCTTGAGGCCGCGTTCAGACGTGAAGTCCTCGAGAAGTGTCCTCGGCAAAGCGCCCGGATGATTAATGAATATCAATCACGCTCGTTCAGAGCGGCTCATCCTCTAGACTTCATATTTACAAGAAGCTCACTCCCAGGCGAATCGTTCGCTAGCTCGCTTGACGATGTTCGCCGTTGTCGGCTGCTGCTCTGGTCCTGAAGACCGGGCAACATACACATTGGAATGGCGGATTGACAGATTTACCCACAGGCGGGGTATAACTGATCGATTGAGTGAGTGAGAGAGTAAGTCACTGTAAGCGAGTGATATCAATTGCTCGATCGGGCATCTACCCGGTATCCATGCCTCCAGTCCAAGATCCAACAGAAAAAACGGGCGACCGCCTCCACCGACCCCACCAATCACCAGCGGGGCGCTTTCCTGGAACGAATACAGACGGACAATGCCCCCGCGTGAACAGAACAACGAGGAGGATGGAAGAAGAGGGCGACCGATGCATGCGGCATGTTTATCAACGTCCACTGCCGTACTCCTTCCCTCCCGCCGATGACAATTCCGCGCTCAGCTCTCGCAAAGCCGCTGAACCTGCACACCAGTGGCCCAACAATTGGCACATGAGGCAACAACAAAACAAGCACGGACGACCATAACTAGTCAGCACACATCAGACAAGAAATACTTCGTAATGACGCGCCAGCAACGGTAGTGTTGCTAAACCTCTGCCATATCCCGCAAAGTCCCGCTAAGAAGCTACTGCCAGCGAACAGAAAATTTCCCAACAGCGTCACTACGGGTTTCGTCGCCCAGGCTAGCTCGCATCGATTTCAATTATTCACGCCGCTAGCCGCGAATGGGTGGAATCGTGGCCCATCTTCGATTGCTTCGGCGGACCCGTGGCATGCGACAATTTCTCAGACCAAGTGTCCTCTTCGCAATCGACCTTCATTAGACGAGTATATGGTTGATGCGTATGATCCAATCCCGTTCGCAGAGATTGGACTGGTCGGACGGAATCGGACTCATGTACTACAGCACACGACGGCAGTCTATTGCGTTGTGGCCAAAACGTGCGGACGATCTGACAGAACAAAGCCGAAACCTGAGTTGCTGAGTGCAATAAATATTCTGAGTAGGTCGTATAGGTATGTATGAATCCCGGCCTGGCGGGAAGGCAAGCCTGACCGAAAACCCGACGAAAATAAAAACACAGAACAAATGAGACCTGCGCCAAGAGGCGCGTGGGGCAAGGGGAGGCCAAAAAAAAAGAAAATTGAAAAAAAATATACAGGGTCAAGCAACGATGTATGCTACGGAGCATGTCCATTTTTTTTTTATGGTGGTAAGAAGCACGCCATTGAGAAGATCCCGACTGTAAAAGATAGAAAGATACACCAAATTCAGCTATAATGACCGTCCGTTGTATTCGGGGGAAGACTGTAAGCGGGGCTGCGACAAAGGAAAAAATGGACAAATTTATTCTTTCGGAGCCAGACGGGCTGGCCCTATCGACAGTGATGTGCCATTCGAGGAGGCACTTCCCATCGCTGACGATATGTTGAGATTCAGCCCTGTGTTCCAAAGATTTCGACAAAAACTTAAGAATAAGATTACAGAGTATTTGTGCTGAGCGATCATTTTTGAAAGCGCACACAAGTAGAGAACGCATATAGTTTCTTGTACATCCATAACCAATCCTTTGCTGTATCTATGTACTCGCTGACCCTACTACAGGTTACCAAATGTCTAATGCATGTAATTTGTAGTATTTTTTTTCACCAAATGTCTAATCCACGTAATTCGTATTAAAAATATATATTTCCAATGTGGAAAAGCAACTGGAAGGTTCAAGGTAGAACATGACGACGACGACAAGCTTGAAGTGTCAGCAAGCGGATTGTCCAAGAAGCACCAAGAACAAGTCGAACCCACTGAAACCGCTGATGATGAGACAAAACGGAAGGAGCCTCATGCGGGCGAGGAGCGGGAAACGCCGCCTCACCCACCTGGAGGTTGCACGCCTCCTGTGGCTGGCTGCTTTCGCCTGAAACAGCAACGATTTCCGAGTCGGCCTCCCCATTCCTTGGATTTTATCACGCAGTTTCCTCGGAGTCGACGAAGCAGCAGGTCTCAAACATACATCTCTGGCATAATTCTGTTCTGTTGTTTGATTTTCCTAACCCGTGCGGTCACCGTTCCGACATTAACATTATTTTCACCAGTTTACAAGAACAAACACGAATACAGGAGGCTATTTACTTGACACGTGCAACACTTGGGAAGGTGCCCATGGAGAAATAACGCTACAATTTTACTCACCAGATGAAAAAGGCATGGGACCTATCACCAGCATTACCACCAGCACCATAAACACCAACTGTAGCAATTTATCATTTAAATACATGTTCACAGATAAGCATATGCCATCCGATTGGCCACGAAAATCCTTGGGGACTACTCACCGCGAAGCTGTAGCGAGAGAGTAGAAGTGCCTGGGGTGTAGTCATCCAACTTCTGAGCGCATAACTTCGCTGTAGCCTTCTCCAGCATACACGATAACGCTTTCGATTGGTACTCGATTCGCTGCCGCGTGTACGCCTCGAAAAATTCTTTGTTCTCTTTCTCCAGCTCTCTCCACACTGCAGTGGCAGAGGAATATGGCCATGGCACAACCATCCGGACACACAACATTGATCACCCACTCAGTAAAAAGAGAAATACCAGCAGCCCGAATGCATTCTTTACTAACCGACCTTTTCAAGACGCCACCAATGCACGTCGCACAGTCATCATTTCCTCCTCTTTTTACTGTTTCCTTTCTGTTTTTGCATCGCTCATCATAAATTTCTTCGTTAGAATTGAAAAGAGAAAAAGAGGAGCACCAGCGCCCTAGCCTCCCTCTATACACCCCACGTGTCACCAAAACGAGCCATCGACCCCCTCAACTAAACCAAAGCCGCAACAATCGGCATCTCCGTCCTCCAAAATCCCGCTCGCTCGGACGCAGATCCACTTTCTCTTCAACACCGGCGATTAGCTGCCTCTGGAACTGACGGCATGCGAATAGCCGGCTTGATTTCAAAAAGGGAAGGGAAAAGAACACCGAAGAGAGAAGACCACCGACAAATCCATCGCGGCGATACCACTTCAACGCGACATCCGCCGTACAATAAATCATCACCCTTCCTGTCCCGCTATGGACCATAAAACCCCACTAGACGCGCTCACCCCCCCCTCTAAACTGACCAGATCACAGAATTACCACGCGAACGGCCCGGAACGGGACGAGCCGGTGTCGTCTTCTTGCTTATCATCCACATGCACACACAGACACGTATGCTGCCATATACCCTTTTCACACGATGGTCCGGTCAATCCCTCAAAATCGTACTACGATGTTCTTCTATTACCATCCACATCCAAATTTTTAACTGTCTAATGACGAGCTCTACCCACCCCAATTGTTCATTCATCGGTTTCATTCAGGATACCCGATCGGACGGCAACTACGCAAACGATGCGATGTTGCGTCGCAATCGGCCGAGAAGAGAAGGCAGAAGAGGACTTAAAACGAAAAGACCAAAATGCGAGATGGTCCCTTGACACGTGTCGAGCCCAAATTTTCCCGCAAATCAAAGCTTCGGCCATCATATGGCCCTCTCTCATTAAAACGACGACTCTCCACGTCCCCTTTCCCCCCTCCTCTCCTCTCTCTCTCTCTCAATTTTCCTGCAATGGCCCTCTCATTAAAACGACGACTCTCCACGTCCCCTTTCCCCCCTCCTCTCTCTCTCTCTCTCTCTCTCTCTCAATTTTCCCGCAAATCAAAGCATCGGCCATCATATGGCCCTCTCTCATTAAAACGACGACTCTCCACGTCCNCTCTCTCTCTCTCAATTTTCCCGCAAATCAAAGCATCGGCCATCATATGGCCCTCTCTCATTAAAACGACGACTCTCCACGTCCGCTTTCCCCCCTCCTCTCTCTCTCTCTCTCTCTCTCGCCAACCTGCTACAGCCTACCCCGAAACAGAAGAAATTTTCATCGAAGCTGGCCTGAGAGTCGCCACGACTACAGACGTTAGGACTACTGACTTATTTTCGAGGGAAAAAGCCAGTCGGCGGACGTGTTGACGGACGGGATGGAGATATGAAAACGCACCTGTCGCTGTCACGACGGGCTTAATGCGCGCGTGTTTGGCTAGTGCCCGCACACACTCCTCCCGATCCATATACATCACAAGGCATCGCTCGATCAAATGCTGAACCTGCGCAGTGAGCAGCACGAAGGTCACACGGACAAGTTACCACAACGCGAATGACACCCAAAGTACTAAGCTGCAAGAGAAGAACATGCTCATCCGTTTCCTCTCCGCTCCTGTCTGACACACCAAGTTTCTCTCCGTATTAGTGACAACTCGCATTAGTATATATCATAATATTACAATAGCGACAACGCGCACACTGCCAAAATATTCATGTTTTCATATCCCTCGGATCAAAAGATGGAAAGATGACATAAAAGATGATTAGATGCCCAAACCTTTTCCTATACTGAACGGTTTCCCGAAGTTCTGGATTTTTTCCTGAACTTCGCAATTTCCTCGCGAAAGGGAACCCTACTTCAATTCTGGCTGATCCGATGAACTCAAAAGCGTGTTCCCCGCACACAGGGAAATAATGGCTGGTGTAGATCCGGCAAACAGAAGATCGCCCACCCATACAATCACCACCACTTCGTTATAGCATTTATAAAAAATCGTTCGAGCATCATCATACATAGCAAATCCATATCGATCCAGAATGCAGACAATACACCACAACTCCTGTTTCATCACGTCTCCAATCCGATCCAAGCACGAGGATATATGAGGAACAGCAAGCGGAGAATAGAAGGTGAGGGCAACAACTCGAAGAGAATAACTCGATAGCAACGCAAAGAGTAGCGATCGGGAGAGCGCGAAGAATGGCAAGGAAAACGGTCAGAGAAAATTTGAGGAGCTCACCATGAGCACGTAAGAGTAGGACAGTTCTCGGTTTGACTTCATAGAACTCATCGTTGCCTCTCCTGCTGCCGTTGAGGGACTCCTCATGCTACTCGCTCTCTCTCTCTCTCTCTCTTCGATGTACTCCAGCGTAGCAAGCGATGCCGGACTCCTCCCACACTGATTTCTGCTCTCTCTCTCTCTCTCTCTCTCTCTCTCTCTCTCTCTCTCTCTCTCTCTCTCTCCCCCTCCCTTCTATGTACTCCAGCGGAGCAAGCGATGCCGGACTCCCGCCACGCTGATCTTTGTTTACTTCACATATGACGGCGAAGATGGCTGATCGGCAGAATCCTGCGCTTGAAATCGTGGGAGGATTTGGAGGAGGGCTTTGAGTGATGATGGCTTTGAAAGGTATTGGGACCGCTAAAAGGACATGACGGACCTGTGCAAAAAGCAACGACACTTGAGGCTACAAGGAGAATTGCAGACATGCAGAGATCGAGGTGGACATGGATAGACGGATCGGAAGTCCCTCGGCTAAGCCCCGCAGGCAAAGGAGACTACAACGGCGATTTTTTACCACGAGGGGCAAGACTGCACCGGAATGCCCTCTCACTGTTCTATCCTCTCTACTTATCTCTGCTGTTCTGCTACGCCTTGTGGTGCGGAGCAGCCAGGCCGATCTTTCTTCCTGCAGCTGTTTCCCTGCGGTGCACTGAAAAGAGACACCCCCTCCGGCCGATTTTTCTCAGCAGCTGGGCCCGCCCGGCGCGGTCCAACGACCGGCGACTACAGATCGCTTAGCAGCCGATCATGAACACCACAGAGATGAACACGGTACTAGCCGATGCACTGTCAGATGCTCGTTCACCAGAGCTGGCTGGCTAATATCTTCTATCTTTTGGCGCCTTCAGGAAAGCGCAGGGCTCGCAGGACTGTAGGACGACCGCATGAGCCGTTGGCCACCGCACACCATGGCCCGACGCCGCCCGACGGCGGGTCGCGGCGCTGCGCCACCGAATGCGCGCGACATCGGCACAGCACAACACGTCAAGACACCCACACACAGAAAATAGAGAAATTGGACGGAGCAAAGCCCGCCAACATGCGCACGCCGAGTCACAAAAGCAGCGGGAACGACGATAAGGTGGCATTCGCAGCTCTCGCAGCCCACGCAGATACCGCCGACCGCGAACTTCGTAGCAAAAAAGTAGACGTTGTTCTACCGCGAAAGTTAAATATGACGAAATATATATAAAATATATATGAGAGAGCTCGAAAGTGCAGTCGGAGCGACAGCGAGGCGCAAAAGCGCACGCAAGCTCCCCACGAGCACTCACGAGACATCCACCTGACGCCATGTGCTCGCTCGTGCCGAGCGCATTCGCGCGCCTGTACGCGCACAGTTGCCTTGTGTCCTGTCGCACGACTGCCGCGACTGGCAATTGCCACCAATCGCGTCCCACTGCGCCGAAGTTCGGTTGGAGCTGGTCCGATTACTGCGCGCCGCAAAAATAAGCGAACTGGTACCTCGCGCTACCGCGCACCGAATGTGCAAAATGCAAGCGAATATCCTGCTAGAACATGCAAAAGTTCACCATCATATTTGTTCTTTTGTGCAGAGTAGTGAAGACAGGTGCTCCACGCCACCGCCGAATCCGGATATCAGATGTATGCGCCAGGGTCTCTCTCCACTACACTATGCAATAGTCTAAATGCACCTGAACCTACAACACATCGTAAATGTGTAGGGACAACCAACTGATCGAGATACATTTGAAATGCTGTAAGGAAAGAAAAAAAATGCTGTGTAGTGGAGCGAGACTTGTGACTTCACGACGCGATTCCACACATTGTATCTGAATGCAATTACGTCCCCGGCTCGAAAAAGTTGTCTGTAAACCTGCAGATCCAGTCTCGCTTTATGTACTTTACACGATCTTTTTTTTTTTTTTTTTTTTTTTTAAAGGTAAGCTATATTCTCCTCTCATCTACCTCATCTTCTTGCTAGTACTCGTCTATCTCATCCTCTCGCTAGTCTTATGTATAGTAAGGGGGAACACCAACCAACCCCGATCTTTACACGATCAAATTCAATTTCTCCAGACTACGCACCTCCGTCATTAGCATCTTATCAGACTCGACAATCCTTCAACGCCTCGCTCCACCACCCTAGACATCCACAAAAGACAAAAATAATGGCTGGGTATCTTTCTATGTTCTAGCGAAGATTCATTCTCGGTTTGCACATTTTGTTGTGAGTAGTGGAGCGAGACCCACTCACTTCGTTCTACTATCCTGCCCGCCGAAGGCGGCTCACTGAACCTAAGCGCCTCAGCGGAGCACGGCTTCTGGCTGGCTCGCACTCCCCTAGTGGCCCACTCGCGGCCGTACTAACGAGTGCTCAGGTTACCTACTGACGGGGCTCGGTCCCACCTGCGCCTTTCCGTTGTAGAAAGCTACCACGAAGAGGCTGGCGGTCGATTGTGTCAATCCATGGTCCTTAGGTGCCCGCCATTCTCTTCGTTGTAGCCTCCTACAACGAAAATGTGCAGGTGGGACCCCCCTACTACTCTTTGACGTCCTATCCGCCGCATGCGCTGGTCTGTTCTGATTTAGGGCCTCTCTCCACTACTGTCCGCTGTACGGATTTGTGGATAGTTCACGGACAGCAGTGATGGCATACTCACACTAGCACGCAGCACTTCTGCAAGTTTTACGTATGTGAATTTGCGTTTATATGGGTCTCGCTGCACTACTCTTGAATCTTGAAAAATCAGGAGTTCATCACTGCTGCACTAACTCTTGATGCCGCGTCCTGTATTTCTATTCAAGAGCTGTCAGATTCACTCTCGAAAAAGTAGAGAGAGTGAGTCATCCTGCACTAACTGTGGAAAACTGCTCTTGGTCCGGCGCTTCAAGAGGTGTCAGAAATGGCCCATCGGACGAGCTCTTGAAGTTTCCACAGTCCCCGCCTGCAGAAGCTGTTTTTTCAAACCAGGCCGACGGGTCCCTTCATGCGGTTTGCAAATCTGAGAGTTGGCCTCCAGTCTCGGTGGACAAATTGTCGCTGCCCTGTCATGTAGTGTCTGTCCTACAGTCGAGAATGCTCACGAGAGTCGAGAGTGGGGAGTAAGTGCAGCAACGACAGCACTTGATGCCAATCCAGGAGTCTGACAGCGCTAGACGAACTCTTGGAAATTTTCATGTGTCTAGCGTAGTGCAGCGAGGCCCTATGGCACCTGCGGGTCACACTGCTCACCCGTTTGTTGCCCGAAGCAGAAACGACAGGGTCGCGACTTGGCCTTGAGATGCGAAAATGCATTGTGTGCAGTCAGACAGCACAATGTACTTGAAGTTTTTTTTTTTTGCTTCCAGAGAGCTGTAGAGGAAAAAGAAATACGATTTTGCGGGGATCTCTGGAGGTCCCCGCAAAATATGTAAGCCCGCGGCTGTCCACGCCGCTGACATTTATGTGCCCTTTTGTGTTAATATGCAAAATACGTGCCTGGTGTGACCCGGAAAACCACGTAAATTTTGCGATTTTGCCAAAATACGTGGTAGTGTGAGTATGCCCTGAGAGAGTTCAGAATTGGGGAAAATGCGGCATAGCTCCACTGACTGTCGGCTGTGCAACTCTCAAATTCACGAGTTCACTACCAGACGCAGTGATAGAACTACAAGACAGGCGGTCCATAGGGTTTTGTCCGCCCAGACTCAAGGTACACTCTCGAAATTCGGGTCCTCGTGGTAGGTTCCTTGAAGGACTTTCCGCGAAGCAATTTTGGCAGGCTGGGAGCTGTACATTCACGGACAGTCGATTTTCCACGGGGTTTCTGACCACTGTCAAAGCCATTTCGCACATGCACAGGGGACAGTAAGTGGAGCTATGTCCAACCGTCCGTTTTTGTACAGCAGAAAGCCAGCGCAGGAGAAACAGGGCGGCCAGTAGTTAGGGCCTACTCACACTAGGGCCTTTTATGGCAAAATAGCTGAAATTTGATGGTTGGGCCAGTCGCACAAGGCAGGGAAAGTGGCAAAAGCAGCAAACGGGGTATCAAATGTCAGCGGCCTGGCGAAGGGCATTTTGGCGCTCGCCACACAGGCTTTCAAAACGTGCAGAATGGACGCCGTGTCTTCACCACACAGCCTTTCAAAACAAGTTCTTTCGAAAAAGTTTCAAAAGGTGTCTGATTGTCCGGCGTCGAAAGTCATTTCGAAAAGATGAGATCCTTCCGCCTGTCACGAGTGGTTCCTCGAAAGACCTCGAGCGGTCTTGTGAAAAGGCCCACTCGTAACGGCCCATTGGCAAAAAAAAAGAAAAAAAGAAAAAGGGGCGATTACAAGCACCTGGCTCCACTACTCTGGCATATATAGAATTGCCTCAGTGTTTTAAAAGTCTGTGTGGCGAGGGGGGGTGTTCCTTTCGACGAGCAGCCTTTCGAAAAAAGTCTGACACCTTTCGGAAAACGCCTTCATTCAAAAGGCTATGCGGCGAGCCCCTTTGCTACCATGTCTGGAGGTGGTAGCAATTTCTTTGGGCGTCGTTAGACACTCCTCGGGGACGTGAAATCCACAAGGACGCGCTCGTTCCACCTGTCCTTGGGGACGAAATCGAAAAAGAAATGTGAAAACACCACAAGGAAAATTCCTTGTGCCATCCTTGTGGTCCCAGCCAAAATTTCATTATCTCCAAGGGACCTCATGAGGTCCCTTGGAGCTCAAGGAACCGTGATTCATGGAGTGGCGAAGACATGCGTCGACGGAGAGTTTTGGTTCTTGGGTGGTCCAGATGTGGTCCAGCGGCATTAGCACGAACATCCCCGCCCTCCAACGTCTGCGTGTGGCGAACCACTTTCTGTGCCTCGCGACTTTCTGCGCGATGACAATGAGGGGTCCTAGGATGGGAGGGTTGGGCAAATTACGGGGAGTGGGATTGGCGGGTGAATTGCGTCGGTGTCCTTGCTTCTTTCTTTTCCTTCCCTTCGCTTCTTCCCCTTTGGCGGTGATGAGACAGGCCCGGGGCAGACGGTTGAGTGTGCGCGCCCCGTTGGGCGCGATCAATACCGTTTGGCGATGGTTCTTTCTTGCTCTGCTGAGAGTAAAAGGGGGGGAACTGAGAATTTTGACGCGATGAGCGCGCGGGAGCTTTCCGGTTTTCTTTTTTAATTTTCCTTTCAACTAAGGACGAGCCCCCGAGGGCTCTCAAAATTTCGATTTCTTTTTGTTTTTCTTCCGGATCATCGGAATTTTTCTGTTGCAATTTTGAGTTCAGATAGGAATTTAGGACTTTTCGAATTTCTTGTCGCGCGGCGCCTCTTTCTTGCGCGCATCTTCCTGCAGCGGGAACGAAGTTCTGGCTCGACGGCGCCTTAATCTTGCATGCAACTGTAATTTTTGGGCGGGCGCCATTGTAACTGTATCTTTCTTCTTTCACCTTCTTCCCACCTTCTTCCTCTTCCTTGCTACGTCTGATTGGGCGGCGCGCTGCATGATCAGATCGATGCGTGGAGTGTGGCTACGTCCCCCACGCCGCGGTCTGGCTATGCAGACTGCAGGCACTGCCTTCCCTTCTCCTCTTTCCAATCCCTGCAATCTCGGACTCTTCGCGCACGCATGCATGCTATAAATCTCGTCGTCGCGATTATATATCTCTCTTTAAAAAAAATTGGAAGCTCGAGGTTAACGCGATCAGTGAGGGTCGGCTAATGAGTGAAGTAAGAGGTGAGTTGATGTGGGAGTTGGGTGACCCGACGACCTGGTGCCAAGTGCGC